AGCTACGCAGTATCTCTTAGAATTACGTAGGTAAACAACAAATATAACATATTTGTTTACTACAATGTCGGTGCTGGCTGTAGAAGTTGAAAAAACATTGTTTTACTTCGAAATATACTAATTTTATAAGAAAATTCGACGTAAATAGGAGGCAGTAGAGCTCCGATAAACCAGCGCTAAATCTTCAATATGAAGAATGTTGCTGCTCTCTGATTGGCCAAACGAAACACAGTAGTGACCTCTATCGGCACGCAGGTGAACCAATAAATTTCTTCCTAAGTGGACCTTATTGAATCGCACCTAAGCATCTTCTTAGGGCGCACTTAGGAACCTTCGTAGCAAACCCACTTACGAAGAAATACACAGAGCTTCCTGAATCTAGGTCCAGGTTGCCTTTGCCCTCTTTGTCAATGAAGCAGCAGAAAATAGCTGGGGCGCTAGCCGGTTCAGAGGCTTTCTCGAGGTCCGGGAAGATCAGCATTCCTGGTCTGTCATTCAAGTGGGCTAACAGAGTGGTAATTCATTCCACTGTGCCAACCCCTCTTCTATAGGTATACATATCATGGTGCAGTTTAGGCATTTCCACTGAGTGTCTATTGAGTGTCATTCTGTCCTACCATGAGGTTACCGTGAAGTGTTTTCTTGGCTTTGCGTCCCCGCGGCCCGGTTGTCGACCAGGCTTCCTAATTGCTGGACTGGTCAACCAGTCTGTTGGACGCGGCTGCTCGCAGCCTGACGTATGAGTCACAACCGGGTTGATCAGGTATTGACCGTCACCCGTCTTGACTGCTCAGCTTTGGAGAGAGATGGGCCAGGGATTAGCTGGATCTTTGGGTTTTGAGATCAGCACTATGTCTGCCCTATTCCAAGCTGTAGATCTTGTTTGAGAAGTCCAGGCTATATTAATTAACCTATGGTATGCAGCGTCTCTCTCTGGTCTGAGGTTTCTAATAATTTTATAGGTTATTTAGTCGTTTCCGGGTAATGTATCCTTGGAGTTTTTCTTAGCCCGATTGAGCTCATCCTGTGTAAAGAGGTATTAGTGTCAGAGACTTCTGCACATGCTGTAAGGATTCTGTGCCACCTTTCTTCCTCTAATCCTGTCTGCACTGCTAATACATCTGACAGACGGTGATTAGTGACTGCTCTCTCTGCAAACCTGGTTGCCAGAACTCCGGCTTCCTGATGCGGATCCTTAGGCTTTAAGTGTTTTATTTCCTTTGGCCCGGTGGATTTGCTGCCACATCTCTCGAAGACAGGTGCGTGTTCATTTGGCCGGTGGATTTGCTGCCACATCTCTCCAAGAGTGGTGTGTTCATTTGACCCGGTGGATTTGCTGCCACATCTCTCCAAGAGTGGTGTGTTCATTTGACCCGGTGGATTTGCTGCCACATCTCTCCAAGAGTGGTGTGTTCATTTGGCCGGTGGATTTGCTGCCACATCTCTCCAAGAGAGGTGTGTTCATTTGGCCAGTGGATTTCCTGCCACATCTCTCCAAGAGTGGTGTGTTCATTTGGCCGGTGGATTTGCTGCCACATCTCTCCAAGAGAGGTGTGTTCATTTGGCCGGTGGATTTGCTGCCACATCTCTCCAAGAGCGGTGTGTTGATTTGGCCGGTGGATTTGCTGCCACATCTCTCCAAGAGTGGTGTGTTTATTCAGATATGAACACCATTCCAGCCACTTTAGCTCTTTTATTTGGACCCCCATTTTATAGAACCCCATTTATGTTATACATTCATGTCATCTATCATCTCCCCATTAAAGGATATAATCAGGTACTAACACAGACGAATTAGGGCTGAAAACCACCATGAGCACCCCCCAACCATCCCCAGATCTCTAGTATCAACTATAGATACAGATAATGGCTCCAAAGAGCCTCCATGCACGGGCTCACCATAGCTCGTGCTACTGGATTTTTTTGTTCTGAGTAGCTGAATCTAAAACAGCAGCAGCAACAACAACAACAACAGAATTTGTCTTTGAGAATGTGAGGAGAGACCTTACGAAACGCATCACTAGGCGTCAGACCCAAACAAAAAATAAAAATTAACTTTGGAGAGTTAATTTTTAACCTTTCTGCTTCAGTGGAGAATAAGGAATAATAATAAGGAAGAATAAGGAAGAATCTCGATAAGGAATATCGAGAAGATTCGCTCCAGAACCATCACTCTAAAACTTTCTGTCGTTTTCAAAGAAATACGTTTGAAAGAACGACTGCGCAAAGACGCCTGGGGACGCGTTTCGCAAGGAACACCTTACATTTTCAAAGACAATTTTACTGTGAATAACATCTGATTTTATTCTCTTTGGATGAGGTGGTGGATGACTGCCATAACAAGGGGGTATTAAATATATCAATGAATAAAGGGATCAGGGGGGTATTAGTAGGATCATTGGATACTGTGTCTGCGTTTGCTCTGGGTCTTGAGGTGGGTAGAATGTAATTATGTGTTAGCTGGTTGTTGATTGCTGGTCTGGACTTCTTAATTTGTAGTGCCTCACTAATGTCCAGTCGTCTGGTGTCGTTATATCTGTCGATTATTTAAGTGTTGCTTGTCAAGATGTCTCTGGTGATGATCTGGTTGTTTGTGAAGATTACATGTTCCTTGATAGAGCCCTGCTGTTTGTGCATTGTTAATCGGCTAGAGAGAGACGTTGTTGTCTTGCCTATATACTAAAATCGTTAGGACTGACAGTCCCCAAGTGGGCATGTGAAGGCATAGACGACGTTAGTCTCTCTTAAGCCGGTTTTCTTGGTGTCTGGAGCTTGTGCAGACACGAGGAAAGTTCATAAGCACGAGGACACGAGTTCAGACACGAGGACACGAGGAAAGTTCATAAGCAAGTTTGGGGTCTTCATGTTTTTATAGTAAATTGTTAGTTGCATCTTGTGATTGGTGATCGTGGGGGATAACGTTCCTAGCAATAATATCCTTCAGGACTCTTTCCTCTCAAGGCGATTAACAATGCACAAACAACAAGAAATATTGACTCCAGCAGTGATCACCCGCAATTTGGATAATGTCTGAAATAGGGGATTTGCTTCCTGGAGAGTTTTCGAACACAGATTCATCTGTTTGTAATTTTACATTTTCCTAATATTAAACAGAAAGACAGACAGACAGACAGACAGACAGACAGACAGACAGACAGACAGACAGACAGACAGACAGACAGACAGACAGACAGACAGACAGACAGACAGACAGACAGACAGACAGACACAGACAGACCTGGGCACTCTACCCATGGTGTCTGGAGAGTCTTACATGACCCTTGGTGTCTGGAGAGTCTTACATGACCCTTGGTGTCTGGAGAGTCTTACATGACCCTTGGTGTCTGGAGAGTCTTACATGACCCTTGGTGTCTGGAGAGTCTTACATGGCCCTTGGTGTCTGGAGAGTCTTACATGACCCTTGGTGTCTGGAGAGTCTTACATGACCCTTGGTGTCTGGAGAGTCTTACATGACCCTTGGTGTCTGGAGAGTGTGTCATGAGCATCTCAAGGAGTACGAGTTTAAACTTCTAGTTATCTATTCACTTGCTCTTCGTAACTGGTATACTTTTCACCTTCACTTTTCATCATATTGATGCGTTCAACGAAAGGCTTCAATTAGTTTCATGGAATATCATACCAAACTACTAGCAATTGAAACTTTAATAGGCAATTTTCCCTAATTGTGATTTCAACCGAAAATGTACAATCAGTTTCCCCTTGGAATTAGCCTTAGGGACATCTCACCAACACAGTCCAACCCACACCTAACCTGCCCCCAGAGGCCCACATCAAAAGGATATCATTAGCAGCATATGCTAGACCGGCAAACATAAGAACTGCCTTTAGAAACTTGTGTAAGGAATCGTTCAGGACCTTGTATACCACTTATGTCAGACCAATCCTGGAGTATGCAGCTCCAGCCTGGAGTCCATAGCTAGTTAAACACAAGACAAAGTTAGAGAAGATTCAGCGGTATGCCACCAGGCTCGTCCCGGAACTGAGAGGTATGAGCTACGAGGAAAGTCTAAAGGAGCTGAACCTCACATTCCTGGAAAACAGAAGAGTAAGGGGAGACATGATAACCACCTACAAAATTCTCAGGGGAATTGACAGGGTGGACAAAGACAAACTCTTCAACACTGGTGGGACATAAACAAGGGGACACAGGTGGAAACTTAGTACCCAGATGAGCCACAGGGACGTTAGAAAGATTTTTTTCAGTGTCAGAGTAGTTAACAAGTGGAATGCATTAGGCAGTGATGTGGTGGAGGCTGACTCCATACACAGTTTCAAATGTAGATATGATAGAGCCCAGTAGGCTCAGGAATCTGTACACCAGTTGATTGATAGTTGAGAGGCGGGACCAAAGAGACAAAGCTCAACCCCCGCAAGCACAATTAGGTGAGTACAATTAGGTGAGTATTGAAGATATGTCCAAGGAATTTACAACAACCGAACTATGAAACTCCGCCCACTTAGCCAATGAAAAACCTATTTCTAAACACTGGGCGTAGACAGGACAGTGGTCACCAGCTGACATTATAATTATAAGTGTGAAGGATAGATGTAATAGTTAATGTAATAATCTCCGTTGAGGTCTGATTAGGACCTTTTGAGCCCCTCTGTAATCCTTTTTTGCGCTACCGTTCACAGCATTAGTATGGGGTGCACAATACACTACTTCTCACAGCATGAGTATGGGGTGCACAATAGACTACTTCTCACAGCATGAGTATGGGGTGCACAATAGACTACTTCTCACAGCATGAGTATGGGGTGCACAATAAACTACTGCTCACAGCATGAGTATGGGGTGCACAATAAACTATGAGCCTCCGGCGGCAACAATCAAAAACAATTCTCACGGCACAGGGTCGAGACGCCGGATTACGTCACGTGACCGCAGTTGTATCCACATTTGTCAAGTGCCAAACTGTCGAAAGTCTCTGAAGCGAGGGAGCGAGGGGATGAGCCTGGAGGTGGGGGTCGAGGTCAACATGGCCTCAACGAGGGCTGGCCTCGGAGGTGGTGGTCGAGGAAGTCAACATGACCTCAACGTGGGCTGGCCTCGGAGGTGCAGAGGTGGGGGTCGAGGAAGTCAACATGACCTCAACGTGGGCTGGCCTCGGAGGTGCAGAGGTGGGGGTCGAGGAGGTCAACATGACCTCAACGAGGGCTGGCCTCGGAGGTGCAGAGGTGGGGGTCGAGGAGGTCAACATGACCTCAACGAGGGCTGGCCTCAGAGGTGCAGAGGGGGGGTCGAGGAGGTCAACATGACCTCAACGAGGGCTGGCCTCGGAGGTGCAGAGGTGGGGGTCGAGGAAGTCAACATGACCTCAACGAGGGCTGGCCTCGGAGGTGCAGAGGTGGGGGTCGAGGAGGTCAACATGACCTCAACGAGGGCTGGCCTCGGAGGTGCAGAGGTGGGGGTCGAGGAAGTCAACATGACCTCAACGTGGGCTGCCCTCGGAGGTGCAGAGGTGGGGGTCGAGGAAGTCAACATGACCTCAACGAGGGCTGGCCTCGGAGGTGCAGAGGTGGGGGTCGAGGAGGTCAACATGACCTCAACGAGGGCTGGCCTCGGAGGTGCAGAGGTGGGGGTCGAGGAGGTCAACATGACCTCAACGAGGGCTGGCCTCGGAGGTGGTGGTCGAGGAGGTCAACATGACCTCAACGAGGGCTGGCCTCGGAGGTGCAGAGGTGGGGGTCGAGGAGGTCAACATGACCTCAACGAGGGCTGGCCTCGGAGGTGGTGGTCGAGGAGGTCAACATGACCTCAACGAGGGCTGGCCTCGGAGGTGGTGGTCGAGGAGGTCAACATGACCTCAACGAGGGCTGGCCTCGGAGGTGCAGAGGTGGGGGTCGAGGAGGTCAACATGACCTCAACGAGGGCTGGCCTCGGAGGTGGTGGTCGAGGAGGTCAACATGACCTCAACGAGGGCTGGCCTCGGAGGTGCAGAGGTGGGGGTCGAGGAGGTCAACATGGCCTCAACGAGGGCTGGCCTCGGAGGTGCGGAGGTGTGGAGGTGGAGGTCGAGGAGGTTGTTGGAAATTTCCAACACTAATACATCATTATTGTATCATAATAGATCATCATTGTATTAACCATAGTAAATACTAATCCTACTAATTTGTAGAATTAACATAGATTAATATTTTCCTATCTGCGCGTCATTTACCAAATTCTTCCCACATAGAGGGACAGTATTGCGTCAGATAATACCCAGCAAGGTATAAATATTGTCAACATGCCAGAGAATTGAATAATATTCTCGCCTTTTGTCAGTATTCTTTACAAGAATTAATACCTGATAATATAATAACTAGTGATCTAATAACAATGAGCTATCAACTAAAAGATCACTATATAAAAGTTTATCTGTTATCTTAAACTAACATGGAGGAAACAGAAATTCTCTCCATTTCTCGTTTAATAAGAACACTGTTCCTATTAACTGTTATTCGACGAGAATTTAAATAATATTTAATTACCTATAATTGTGATCTTATTATCATTAACTTATTAAGTAGAGTAATTACAAGGAAAAGAATTTTCCGTTTGTACAAGAATATGTTGCGCATGCGCGAGAGAGAGGTTGAGGGAGACGCCAGATTCAAGCTTGTTGGACGACGCCATAGACAACGTGACGGCCATAAGTTCAGAGACAGGTGAAGCTTTCGTCAACTACACGATCGGCCCTTGCTATTAATCAGCCCTGGAGTGTGCAGTTACTCCATTAGCGATCCAAGGATTGCATCGGAGGACCACCAGCAGGTCAAGTGGTCTAGTTTTCGTATTAGAGCTCTAATTATGTAAACTTTACGCTTAGTCCATCGTTACACCGTGCTCCCTCCCCAAACAACAAGTACGTTCACAGGGAATTTAATTTATCCCTTTATTAAATCATAATGATATATAAATTAATGTGTGTAAGCAATTATTACTCCACATTGGGTTTCCAGCATGTGTTGAAGCAGCCGGAGTGAGACAATTTCCTACGCTATGCTATCGGGTCATGAGTTCCAGCAGGTTCTAGATAACGCCATCACACCACCACGCTTCCGTTCACTGCCACAGCTAAGTAGCTGAGATTATTTTAAGGGGGCATTAGGTTCCAAAAATTCAATAAATGAAAACTCGTTCGATTTCAATCAAACTTTTTTGACAAGTTCTATATGAAAAGTGTTTCATCGGGTCCAAGTTTCAGCATCGTAACATAAATAGGAAGGGAGGAAAAAAATATTGAAATAGTTGTGAAAATTATGCCAAAATGGTCAAAATTGGTTATCAATCAAAAGTGTCAACTGAAATCATAGCTATGACTCTTTGCTATCACAATAGCATATATTAAACAAATATTATAATTAGTTTAATTGGAAAAAAAAATGTTAAGAAAAAAAAATGTATTTTTTTTTTTTTTCAAACTCTTTTTTTCATTTTTTCTTTTGGCGATTTCCATCAAATTTACACACCTGATTGTACGTAAGCCTATTTGTAAGGATGCCAATTTTGGAGAAAATTGGTTGATGTCAACCTCAGCCACAGATTTTAGAACCTTAGACTTTATTCTTTTTCTTTTTTTTTTCAATTGACACAAATGTTTAACAAAACTGATTCATTTTTTATTCAATTTACATGAAACTTACACAGTATATGTGGAGGGCATCCCTCTACATTGGTGAGTTTTCATTTTTCTCTAAGTTCATTTATTGATTTTATAATAGCAATAAACATGCCATATTTGCATAATTTTTGGGGGGAACTTTGAACATTTGTATTAGGAAAACTAAAGATGTTTTGGAAATTCTATATCTCAAGGTCCTTTATTATAAGCTAATGTGTCAGAAAATTGTCACAGAATAATTATATCTGAAACGTGTGTTCTGAAGTGTAGACTTCAAAATGTGTAAAAAACGTTGAAAAAAAAAAATCTCCCTTTCTATTTACGCTGCAGTACTGAAACTTGGGACAATTTCAGCACTTTTCATATACAACTAGTCAAATAATATTGGTTGACATTGAACAACTTTTCAAACACCAACTTAATGCCCCCTTAATTTACTCATTGCTTACTTAGGAATAGTTGAAACCTAATAATATCTTGAAATTATATTTAATATATGTGAGCTAAGAATCCAAACATATTTCTATATCCTCATGAAATTAAGATAAGAACAATTTTCTTATCTAACTATTATTTCAATATGTCAATGTAGATACTAATAACGTAAACATTTTAATGATATCCCTTTGAGATCCATGTTACTAACCACTGGTAGTAATATTAGTCTATCGTAGTATCTTGAGTTCCATTCGCCTGTAATTATTTTTGCCTAATTCTTGCAATTACTTATTTTATTTACTTCAGTGAGCGAACCACACTGAAATGATGCCAGGGATACAATAGTCTTTTGACATTACAGGCATCCTTCAGTCTCGGGAGACTATGGAGTTGCGCCCTAGTTGTCAATCCTGGTGCAGCGTCTGGTGTGACTGATGAGGCCGATCCGAGAGTGGCAGTCCATCCCACACCGGTGGGATGGACTGCCATCCCAAATCCATCAGTGTGGGATGGAGTCTTTTGACATATAACCCTCCATTTTGGGTGAGAGAATTTGATTCATAAATTACAGTTCCTTCAATATACAATACAATATTTATCAATAATATCCATAGGACACTAGTTCATGGATTTAATAGATAACAACTTGCTCTACCCAGTTTCCACTTTTCCTTTAAAAAGTGGTGGTCCTTCGCAGCTATCGAAAATTAGCATCAATTTAAATGAATTATATGAGTCAAATTTTCCCACAGAGGTCAACTTGACCTCAAAGAGGGCTGACCTAGGAGGTGTGGAGGTAGGGGGTCGAGGAGGTCAACATGACCTCAAAGAGTGCTGGCCTCGGAGGTGTGGAGGTTGGGGTCGAGGAGGTCAAC